GCTTTTCCTCATAGGGGAGGATGCTCCGGTCCCTTCATCACCTCAGTAGTCCATCATTTGACTCCCTCCAGAGTGTTCATGTGTCTCTTGTACTGCAAAGCCCAGAACTGGACACAGTACTCCAAGTGTGGCTTTGCCAGTCCTGAGTAGAAAGGAAGGAAAACCTCCTTCAACTTGCTGGCAATGCTTTGCCTAATGAGGACCAGGATACCATCTACCTTTTTTGCAGTGAGGGTACATGGCTGGGTCATGTAAAACCTGAGTGGAGATTGTAGAAATGTGCTGAAATCCCCCACAAAAGGAGGAAATCAAGCCATTCTGAACACAGATATCACTGTGTTCTGATTCATTCTGCATGACCTGTAATAAGTTTACAGAAATGATAGTAAGAACAAAAGAGAAATAAGCAGCTCATATGTCAGCAAAAGCTTCAACAGGAATTCTAATAGACCAGCAAGAAAAATCTTCTTTATGAGGCATTACTTTTACACATCTCTATGTATCCAGGACCCACTGTTAGCCACCTGCAGGAACACATGACAGAATTGCAATCACCCTGATGAAAGCTCCAGGGTGTACATGCCATTTGGACCCTGCCTTATACCCTCTCTGTGTTCAGGACTTTGACACTACGAAGCATCACAGATTTATTCAACTGCAGAAAGGAAGACAAAACTTTAGTATGACTGAGTGGATCACTCTGTTTCATACATCCCATTCTATCTCCCATTCCCATCCCATTCTATCCCTAATCTTGTATTAAATCTACATTAGATAAAATAGGTAAAAAAGACAGCAAAGCATAATTTCTTTTTTAATTGTGTCATAACACTGATTCAAGATGTGATGAATCCATGTCCCTGCAAATTGGGAAAGATAACTAGAACTATCAGAAGTACAAGAATGTGCTTTCCTTTATCACATCACCATCGTGAGCGCTCTGAATTTTTCATACAATTACAGGAAAGCCAGGCCAATGCCATTAATGTTTCCCACAATACTTTAAAGTCATGACACATCACATGTGCAATTTTCAGAGAAATGAATGAGTTTTCTAATCCTAGGAGGTATTCCAGGAAGTTTCCTATGAAAGTAGTTATGCATAAATAGTCAGAAGTTAAAAGCTGGAGTCTTCTTCACCATTCTTGTTGCTGCTTGACATGAGTCCTTCCACAGCAGGATGCTATTATGAATCTCACTCTGAGGCTGTAACACCTTCCATTTACTGCACAGACACTTTCTGGTACATATATTTTTGGATTTATTCAGAAAGCCTGAGGAACTATCCATTAGGTCTTTCTGCACCATTCCAGCTTCTACAGAGCCACTGATCTTAAAATAAATAATTAAATAAATAAAATCATTTATTTATTATAAAAAAAAAAAAGTGGGTGAGGGATTTGGATTGGGTCCAGCATGGAGAGTGGGGAATGATGTGGGTGAGGTAAGAAGACTCTAATACACCAGAAAAGAGACTGAGGTCAACAGGAGTCATCCTGGCCACCTTCTGCTCCAGAGAATGATCAACAGTATTCAAACCATTCTCAATGTATTTATTTTATCTGTTAAACATTAATTGAAAGAAACACAAAAAGCCATCTGGCCTTAGTTAGGCTGCCATGAAAAACTCCAGAAGGGAAGAAGTAAACCCAATGCTGAAATAATTCCTTCCTTTAACAAGCTGTTTTATAAATGCTTTCTAAGTCTCTCTGACATACCAACGTGATTCATTTACAGCTTTGAGGGTGGCATCAATTAAAAGGTTTCTTTCCACATTCCTTCCATTTGCAGATCTTTTCAGACAGATTACACTTTAAAAGTCTTTAAGATTAACAGCTGATTCCAAACTCACGTTCATTTAAAAGTACCTCTTAAAATGTTCTAGACCACTGGATTGTAACTTTTTCTACTTCGCTCAATTTGTGTATGAAAAGTTGAAATGACTGTCAAAGTTACCATAATGATCTGAAGTGGTAAAACAGAATGAAATAAGCTATTGTTAGATTCACTAAATTTGATGACAAATTGCACATTTGGGGGTCTTGACCTTACTTATTTGTAATGCAGAAATTCAAGAATATATTCCATTTTCTGGATAAATCAGTGTAGTCATCTTAGACCTGTTTCACAGAAGTATTTTACAAACTTTATTTAAGAATTTATAAGGTTTGAAATTTTGTCCACTATTGAAGTAATGTGAGGATTTTTTTTAAAGAATTTTATTAGATTCCAGATGACTTCCATCAATGCTTTCACTATGTCAAGGCTTGGAGCACACACTACCACAGAGCTGGCTGAGGAAGGGCAGCTGCAGACTGCCTCAACCCCTTGCTTGGCAGGTGACACCAAGTATTTACAGCTGATGTTTTCACTAAAAGGCTGAAGATTTCTCACCCCTTCCCCTCATGAGCAAACTGAATCTCAGACATTCTTCCACAGACTAGTTCTCCTGCCATTTATCATTTGAGGCAAGAATAGCCCAACAAGGCTGTGCATAATCTGATCTCCGGCAGCCCAACGCTATTAAAAATGTTCCTTCTGTCATTAAAATCTCTCTCTCCCCTTCTTTTTTTTTAAACCCCCTCTATTTATGCAAAATTGATCTTCCATTAGGAAGCAGACCTAGACACAATGTTGCATTAGTATACAAACTGAAAAACTGACACAAATGTAATATAGCTTTCTGGCATTTTTTACTTCTGGTTCCTCTATTTCTTGTCAAAAAAATGAGCGCTTTTTTGGGGGGGCAACAAAATAACAATAAAAAACTTACAGTTGCTGGCTGAGTACTATGACTACCAAGTTCATCTCATAATCACTGTCACAACAGAGGGGTGCAGCTCCTCATGCTTTGTTTCTAGCATGATGCACCTCACGCTTACATTACTTACACATAATGGAAACAGAGTACTTTGATTGTGTAGTGACAATAGTCTGCATATTCTTCCTGGTTCTAGCATGATCCATAAAATCAATGATTTTAATTCAATTGCTACTACCAGGTCACAGAAAAAAAAATAGAAATAAGATGATCATCTAGGCATTTCTGAGCACACGTGCTGCTGGCCACTTCTGAGTATCTGCTGTGTACTTGTTTTTAAGAATCATCCAGTAAAAGTCAAACACCTTAAAGTAATGTAAGTGTACTATATTGATAATATCATTTTAATCACCCAACTATGTAATTCTGCTCCCAAATATAGTAGACTATGTCTATTTTCCTTAGGACTCTGATAAATGATCTTCATTGTATTTCATTCCTTTAATTGCTAGACAATTCCCTTATCAGTCCTAAACCCACTTCATCTGAGAACATTTATCTTAATATTTCTTTATTTGCAAGCCTTTATCTTAAATTTTGTAATTGTAATTACAGAACATGAGTGGGAACCTTGAGGCAGCTGAAATCATCTGCCTTCAGTTCAAAAGCAACAGAGATATTTGTCAATTACTATATATTAATGCCTTTTTCTTATATATTATGTAAATTATGTAAACATGTAAGATGCCCAATTCTTTAACAATATGATTAAGTTCACCACCAGGACAAAAAGCAGAAAGAGATCTGTTAAAGGAAGAGACACCTATAAGTTCTCTAAATGCTTGAGTTTTTTTCCATTAACAGTTTGCACTGTTGTCATAAAGTTTGGTTATTCTCTGCATTACAAGTCATTGTGCATGGAGATAGCTTGAAACAATATACAAAACCTAACCATTTTCATTGCCAGGGAATTCACTAGTCCTGCTTGCAATCCTTTGTCCCCATCATATTTGATCATTCTGATCTTCAGAACCTGAGAAAAATACAGAATAGCTAACTGGTTTCAGAGACTTATGGCAGAGACTAACATAAAACCTTAAAAATTTCAGTCGGGCTCAGTGTTTGCATAGAAGTCAACGTCCCTTAGACCCCAGGAAAAGTACCTAAGCCCTTGCAACATCTTTTAATCATCCACCTCTTTAATACTTTTTTCTAATAAATTTTCAGGCACTTTCCATTTCTTCTATCAGTTAAAATGAGCAAGGATAGAATTAGCACAATATTGGGCAGACAGTGTAGTAGCAATTCCCAGAATGCTCTAATATTTCAGCATCTTGTCACCATTTTGTCGATTTCAGAGAAATTGTGTGCAACTGATCTCCATTACTGTTGTATCCAGAATTTTAAAAACCTCACTGAGAGAATTTGTTATTCAAAGTGGCCTTAAAGAGATAAATTAGTAGGATATATTGGTTAACTCAACACAAAAACATCACAGCCACCGGGATATTACACAAGTGAGTTATTCTTGTCTGGACTCTGACAACATCTTTGTCCCCATGCAGATACTAAGTTTTGCCTTGGTATCTTATAAATAAGCTGCATATATAGAAATATGTCTTTCTTTACAGTTTTAGTATTTGGGGGATTTTTTAGCTTAATTTTTAATAACCATGGGAAAACCACATTCCCCTCCTTTGCTTTTTTGTGACCTACATCTGTAAAAGATCCTCAACCCTGTTCTGGAAACATGAAGATAAAATTGAAGTTATGCTCTTGTCAGTTATTGAATGATATTCCTCAAGCTTTATAAGTCATGCTAACTCTTAAAGTGTAAGAGTCATCAACATTTTACAAAAGTTTCTTCTTACTGATAATTAAAAAAAAAATAAAAAAGCTAAAGCATCTCCTGTTCCTTGTACCTTTTTAAAATAATTAAAACCAGCAGTTTTACTGGCCAAGCAACTATATAAAAGAGCAAACCTCTGACTACAACATAAAGATGGGTGGTCACATTTTGTACCTGACAATGATTTCCACCAGTGCTTCTGAGAGATTTATGAAGTTTCATTGGTTTGGATGCAAACGCATTATAACATACTAGTCATCAACAATTCCAGCTATCCCCGACTTTTAACAAAAACACAGCACAGCAGTGAACGTGCTAAGCAGAAAGAGGGGTGCCCTTCTTCCTTGGCTCAGTACCACCATCATAAGCCACGTAACAAGGCAGGAAAACACTTTGCTGCCAGAAACACTTGATGCAGGCTCTGCGCTGAGCCCGAGAGATGGCCGAGGAACAGCAGCAGCGCTGGGACACGGCCGCTTTCCATATGGATGGGTAGGATCGGAGAGGCAAGGGCCAAAAAGCTATCTTTCTACAGCAACCACAAGAACTGTGCAGGGGATCCATTACCATGCTCCTATGGCATACTTGTTTCCAAAGCCCCTAGGCTCCACCTGGCTCTTCCTGCCTTCCCCAGGGCCTCAGGCGCCGAGGGGACGTGTTGCAAAATTTTGCCCGTACAAACACGCAACAGGCAGGAAGGGCAAAGTCCTACAGAGGTGTGTGTGGGAGGGTGAGGCAGGGATCCCGACGGCTCCCGAGGCCGGCAGGGAGCCTTATTCTTCCTCATCTTCGCCGGAAAAAGAGGACACACTAAGGACACGGTGCCGAACGAAACAACACCGAGACCCTTCTCCGCCGCCGCCTCTCCGCTTCCGCCGCGCCGCGGGCACTGCGCAGGCCCGGCGCCGCCGCCCGCATGGAGGAGGAGGAGGAGGATGAGGGTGGCGGCGGCCGGGCGGCCTCGGCGAGCCCGGCCGGGTCTGCCCGCTTCGTGCGGTGCCTCTACGCGGTGGGATTCCTGGTAAGCGGCGGCCCTGGGGCCCGCCCCGCGCGGCCTGCGGCGGGCGGCCGCGCCCGGGAACGGGAATGGGCTCCTTTGCAGGCCGTGGCTGCTGGGTTCTGGGGTGCATCGCTGCAGCCAGGGCTTGTAGCGCTGCTGGTGTGCAGCGGCTGGGCTGTTTTACCGTGCAAACAGCACGCAGTTCGACACACAGGTCGGATTTTTGTCCTGTGAATGCCATGGAATAGCGGACCACCCAAAAAGCTGAGTCTTGCCTCGGTGCTTATAAGAGAGCTGCTTCCTGTTTCCTTAAAAAAAAAAAAAAACAAAAAAAAAACACTGGTCTCTTGTTGAAAGAACAGACTTTTTAAAAGGTTCATGTTCTGTAGTGATTCCTGAGCCTCAGGAAAGTGCCACTTAATTAATTTGAGATTAAAAGTGACGATTTGGAAAACGAATACAGAATGAGTACGAGTTTGCACTGTGAAATGACAGGATAACTGTCTTACCTACTTTTAGGATGGGCAATAGAAACGACCCGGTTGGTTTATGTCCCGCAGAAAATATCACAGGGAACTTTGCTCCTTTTAACTGACTTTTAAACTTTTTTCAGGGTTCTCCAGCCCTGACATAGCTTATTGACACTGAGCTGGAGCACACAAGAAAATCAACCAAGTGAGTGTCCTTTTAGAGGATGTGGTGATGCAAGCTTCCTGTAGCCAGAGAAATAAATACAGTGTATCTGTCACTCCAGAGAAGGAATTACACAGTGGAATGAGACGTAACTACCCATCAGATAGTGGCTGATGGGTCTTGCTCTACCTGCATGCCTGTGACAGTCCAGTACTGCCGGGGTATAGTCTGAGACTTGTACTTCTTAATGTCTCCATTGATGACTTGGACGAGGTCACTGAACCTTTCTTCAGATTCACAGATGACACCTAAGATTGTATTGCTGGAGGTGTTTATAAGTGGTGTGCTCTGTTTGTTCATGCTAATGTATTTAATGGTTCTAACTTTGTAAGCCTCAATTTTAGCCATCAAAAAGTAATTAATGACAGACTGTGAGAATTCGCTTAGTGACACACATTGTTACAGTTCATCAGTGCTTGAGGTAGTCCAGTTCAGTTCAAGTAGTCAGTGATGAAAGGTGATTGTGCTCCAATAGATCTCCCAGGGACACTGGATGCTGTGCCAGATTGTACTAGTACTGAAAGAACTACTGGGTCAAAGTGGTGAGCTTAACAAAAAGTAATAAAGCAAAAGGAACAAGTAGGAGATCCTTGTACTTCTCAGGATGGGCAGTGTCCTTTACCCTCCTCTTACAAAATGTTTTACAATTATGCTTTGCCTTTATTTTTTTTATTTTTTGAATTTTCTGTCTTGTCACTTTCTTAAGCTATACACAAAGGCAGTCTGTTAGTAGGTGTAGATCTATTGTAGCGTCTTCTCCATTGTAGTTGGGTGAAAGTACCATTTTTTAAAATACACAGTTTTTGCACAAATAAAAAGTATGTTTAGGTGATTGAAATTAGACCACTTTGGATTTAAAGCACTGATACAAAGTACTTTTCTTGTTTAACAGGTAAAGTTTAATATATTGAAAGGAATATTTAATGTTTAAATATATATCTTCAGAAGGATTGCATCTAGACTGGGGGAAGAGAATTGATGTTTTCATAGGTTTAACTCCTCTGTGAGGCAATCCTTTATCTTTCAGTTTATGTGTTTTGTAAGATGAAAAAAATTCTTTTAACCTTGTGTTGATATGGAGATAATTTACTTTTTTAAAATTTATTTTTCTGATGTTGACTGTTATTAAGCCAGGTTGCTATTGTCTTTGTGAAAGTTACCAAAACTTTTCCTGCCTTTTTTTCAGGATTTATTTGGTGTGAGCATGGTGGTTCCTTTAATGAATCTTCATATCAAATCTCTAGGAGCAAGTCATACAGTTGCTGGAATCATAGGTGAGTTGCAGTACATGATTTATGAAAGAGTAAGATAAGGCCTGGATTTTGCCTTACTGTAAACTGGACATTGGAACACAATTTTCCTTGTTAATAGCATAATAAAAAATAAAGACAATTTCCACATGAAACTGTAAGGGCAGCCATACTGTGTTAGACCCAGAGACCTGTTCAAACTCGTGCACTGACAGTGGCCAAAAGCACATTCTTGGGAAAGAGCACAATTGGGAAGAACAAGTCTTGCAGTAGCATTTGTACGGCTACTTACCAGCATCCAAGAATTCACAGCTTAGGAATTTAGGGAGCCAGAGGTGTTGCTTGTAGTTTTATTGTTATTTACACTTTGCAAATGGTACTTTTGCAGCTGGTTCTCCAAAGCTTTCCAATGTCCATGACTTCCCAGTTTGATTAAAATCCTTACAGCTGTCTTGGCAAAATATTTATTCACTTTTAGGAGTGTTTACAAATAAATTCTGAAGATTTGGAATTTTATCTTAAAATGTTTAGTGCTAAGGTAGGTTCTGTGGCTTTAAAGTACCTTTTATGGTATTGTTTATGGTTTGGAGTGATACAATATTTTCTTTATTCCCAGAGCTGTTATTCAGTTTTATTATTTTCTTTTCTTATTTAACACTTTGTATGAAATAATTCTGCTTCTACACTGAGTTGACAGTATTATTTTAAGCAGCAACTAGTCAGAAATATGTTTTCATTTCAACAGCCTGCTTTAATTTTTAACATTATAAAAAAAACATGGGCTTGAGGTGTATTCTTATAAATGAGAGTCTAGCAGATGTTTCTCTCTGCTTCTCTTTGCTCCTTCTCTTCTGTCACTAAATGCTACTAGCCTCCAAAATGAGAAAGTAGGATCCGTGTTTTCTTCAGGGATTCTGTGATGCCTTGTAGTAGACTGAAGCACCAAGTGGAAAGTCCTTTCCAGTAGGGAAATTCTCTCCTGATTCTGAGAAAGCAATTATAAATGCCAAGATCTGTTTTGTTTAATATACCATACAAAGCAACATCATTTTGCCTTATATAGTTTTACAACTTCTCAGCACTTTTTTCTTTTTTATTTTGTCATTCCCTGAAACTATTTCCTTTATAAAATACTAATCTCCACCCTTGGTTTGTCCTGCTTCCTCTTCCCATTCTTCTAGTAAACTATTCCCATGATTTCTCATTTTTTCACAATTTAAAATTTTGTGCAGTTTTCATTTTAAAAAAGCTGAATTTTTAACACTGGTATTTTGTTTGTTTTAGGATCTCTCTATGGTGTAATGCAGCTGTTTTCCAGCACATTTGTGGTGAGTTCTAACTCTGCATTCCAAAGCATATTGGTATTTCTATGGATTGTAGAGGGGGAAAGGGTGGGGTTAATAATAGCATTTTTGTGACATTTTGAAAATGCATAAAGTGTTCATACAAGCATTTTGGTTGGAGGAACCAATTTTCAGTTTGCATGAGAAATGGCAGTTTTGTTTATGGGGAATTGCCAGGTTTTTCAGGCCCAAACAGAATATAGTTTTTAGACAAAAGCTAGAATACAGATTTGGGCTCAGGTACGTTACTGAGCAGGTCACAGTTACACAGGGTTAGCTCCTCTAGTGTTGGTGCTAGTAGAGCAGTTTCCTTCAGTGCAGTAGCCTCTCCAGGAAGCAGTCTCATGAGTCAGCTTTTCATAGCCTGTGATTTAGTTTGCTTTCCCTGCTTAATGAGCACTATCTTGTAACTCACTGTATGGTCTAAATTAATTGTTTCATCTTTGCTATTTGTTTGGTTTTGTTTTCTATTAGCTATTGATTTTTTATATTCTAATATTACCCTGGTACCAGTTTTCTAGTTTTGAAGAGAAGATAACAGATTATGAGAATGTCTCATAAAATAACGGTTTCAGGGTTTGTTATGCAGGACACCTGGGATAATTTTCTTCTGTAATTTTGTGGCACGTTCTTGGAAGTGCAAGACCATTGTCTGCTTTCTTAAAAAAACTATTTCCTCTTGGAAATCAAGCTGATTTAGAAGCATGATAAGTGCAAGTTTTCGGTTTTCCCTCTGCAAACTACTTCTTACCTATCTGTGCTCAGATGACAAACTCTTCATAGCCAAGATCATTGCTTTTAAGATTTTCAACAAGTGTCTAATACATAGCAGCCTGAGTGATGCAAACATATATTTGTGGTTGGTTATGGTAAGATTTCCAGAAGGCTTCTACTGGTAATATTTTGTGGTATTTGTTGCAGGACTGTCTTTTTAAAAGGTTTATTTTTTTATTAAAAAAATCTGTGTACACAACATTAAATGAAATAATAATTTTGGCAGGTAGCCTGCCATCAGGGCAGAGCTCTCCTTGTGACTTCCAAATTTTTCACTTAGGAATGTTGTGTAATAAGCTTATTAGGCTCTCATTGACAGTCCTTTGATGTCTTGTCTCAGTTTAATGCAGAAGTACTGATTGATCACTGCACATAGCTTAGTGTTATAAAAACACTACTCTTTCTTTCTGGCTTTGTGAAAGGGCTGCTGGAGTGATGTAGTAGGAAGACGGTATTCCCTGCTTGTTTGTATTCTTCTCAGTGCACTGGGTTACTTCCTTCTTGGAAATTCCACCACAGTGTTCCTGTTTGCTATTTCTAGAGTCCCTGTAGGTGAGTAAACACTTGGAATTTTGCAGTTTAAATTCCCTGTAGTCTCAGGCTGAGAATTACTACGGGAGAAATGGTATATGGATAGCCACATAGCATCATCACCCAGTAGCACCAACTGAACCTGAGTATTGGAAAAGTCTCTACAAATAAAGAATTCTCATTATTTTTTTTCCTGAAAATGATTTGAAATGTTGAGGCCTAACCCACCAGGCATCTAAACCCCACCCACAAAGCTGCTTACTCCAGCACTGAAGAACTTGTGATTAATGGAATTTTAAAAATATAAATCATACAAATTTGGACCATTGTTACTTGAGATAGATCTGTCTCTTTTTTGGACCAAGAGATACATGTTTATTGATTTGTTTATATTTTTTGCAGGTATTTTCAAACACACACTTTCCATCTCTAAGGCCCTGCTGTCTGATCTGGTCTCAGATAGGGATCGCCCTTTAGTGATGGGGCGCTTCAATGCAGCCTCCAGTGTGGGCTTCATTCTGGGACCTGTTGTTGGTGGCTACCTTGCAGAGTTCAAAGGTGGCTTTTACCAAACATCCTTCATCTGTGCCTCTATCTTCCTTCTGAATGGTGGTAAGTTGTATGTCACATTTTGCCTCTTGGTTCCCTTCATTCCTCATTTTGTCCTTTTAAGCCATCTGTAATACCTTGAATTCACAGTGTGTTTATCATCTATGGCATTGGCATTTTGTATGCCAATACTACTGTTTGAATTTGAACTTGTGTGGAAGGGTGGGAATTTTGAAACAGTTATCCTCCAGGTGCTTCTCCTTTGTTCTGCCTATGTCTCCTTTACATTCAGACACAAATGGGAGTTTTTGATGTGCCCAAAGATGAAGATTAGAAATCATAGTTTTGGCTTTAGCCATTAGATTTGTTTGTATTGTGTGAGTGTGGCATTTCAGTGCTTTCCTTTCTTGTTTTCACTGCATTTAAAATTGAACCAGTCCTATGAATAACACTAGACTTAATATTTGCAAATTTTTTAAGGACAAGTATTGTTGAAGTATTTTTTTAATTGTTACAATCAAACTAATATCTTCCATGTAAAGTTGATGCAATTGAATGAAAGCAACTAATTTCTTCATCTACATAGGTCTTGTCTGGATGTTACCCTGGAGTGAAGAAAACACTAGCAATAGGGACCATTACCAAGACAAAGAAAAAAACAGTTTCTCAGCAAAATCAAATCATGACCATCACTTGAAATCAGCAACTACTAGAGCTGTAACAAACAGTAGTTTTTTCCAGTCTCCATGGATCCAAGTTGCAACAGTGCTGAAGAAAATTAAAGGAATTGCGTGCTCTAATTTGTGGGATGTATTTTTAGTGCGGTTCCTGATGTCTGTTGCTATACTGCTGTACTATAGTAATTTTACTCTGGCCTTGGAGGAGAGATTTGGGGTGAAACCCTTGTTTTCTGGATACCTAATGAGCTATAGCAGTGCACTTGGAGTCCTGGCTGGTTGTCTGCTCGGACCAATAACAAGACTCTATGGGCACGACACTTACAGACTTTTGTTGCACTCCAGCACTTTTACCTGCACGCTGATCCTCCTGTATGCATCAGCACCGAGCATATGGATGGTCGTTTTGTCCTCCACGTTCTTGGCCTTCTCCACTACTATAGGCCGTACCTGTATCATTGATCTGGAACTGACTGTTGGTGGGAACGAGGCCAGCGGGACACTCCTAGGTGTTGGACAGTCGGTGACATCAGTGGGACGTATTATTGCCCCACTCCTTTCTGGAATTGCTCAGGAGTTCAGTCCTTGTGGCCCTCCAAGTCTAGCCGTGGGACTAGCATTAGTTGCTATTGTGATAATGAATGCAAACAAACAAAAATACCGTAGTCGTGGAAGTGTGAAGTTAAAAAATCAGTAGACACAATTTTGGATTGCACCAGATGTATCTTCACCTGCCAGGCTTGTACAGTAATTACATGATTTTTAAGGAGAGCACATTATGTTCCCGTGGAAGCAAGTATATATATGTATTTCTGCTGCAGGGATGTTAAGTCTAGACAGATGTTATTCTAACAGGTACCACCAGGACATTTCTAAGAGGGGCAGATGTTGCTATATTGTACAGGCTGTGATTTTTTTAATGGATTTTTAACCTTTTTGGAGGGGAAAAAGGAACGTCAAGAAACGCACAAACCCTGCTTGTAGCTCATTTTTGACACAGTGTTTAGATTGAAAGATTGTTTAAAAAGGGTGAATCAAAGGTGATTTTTTGTTGTTTAATCAGAAGGATATTGCAAATGTTTGGCCTTAATTTCTTATGCTGTGGTCTGTTTCCTTTTGTCTGTTATGACAGTAGCTTATATAACAGGATATTTGCTTATGTGATTTTTGTGTAGCATGTTTTGTCCAGAAAACTTTCTGCAGACAGTGGTTAGGCACTTTGGGGTAATCATGCAACCCCTGCTGACTCCTGGTCTTTCCCAAGTAACAGAATTGGGTGTATGCTAACTTCATGTACTAGAAGACCTAATCTTAGAATAATACAAGGCCATTCAGGCTGAAACTGAGGCCGAATTTAAGTTTTATAGAAATTTGAACTGGTGGCTTCTGTTTAGTAATAACTTCTACTGAGGAACTTTGTCATAATTTCTTTATTTATATTTCCTGTGCAATTTTTCTACCTTCATTTTAAGAATAAATTTCCTTCTTATTTCTCTCAAATGACTGTAAAGTTGTGAGCATGTAGCAGTATTTCACGGATCTAGATTAATGCATCCTGTCTCATCTCAGGCATAAGTGACATTTTGGTGACAAGAGAAATAAGGTTTTGCTGGTATTTTAGTCCTCATTTGTGTGCATGGCTTAACTGAAGAGAGGTTACTCTCAAAGCTGTACAGAGTTGTAGCACTCCTGTGCTATTTACTGTTCAAGCTCATTACTTGCCAGTTACCATTGTTTGTATTTCATATGAAACATGGAAAAAATGTATTTTGTTCTGATAATGTTCTCTATGATCTTCATTATATTACTTGATGAAAATACAAAGTCAACTATGTAAGTATTGGGTTCGGGGGAAGTTTATGCAATTTAGTTATCTCCTTGAACACATCGGTTCTAACACTTCCTGCTTCAGGTCAGTCATGGATGGTGCTTGTATTTTTTATTTTCATTTTCTTCTTTACCTTTTCCACTGCCTATTAGCATTCAAGTATTTTCTGAAACCTCCGTGATTCCAGTGGCAGCACCATAGGAATTTATGTATGGAACTCTGAATTGTTTTAATTTTATTTATTGACATAATCAGTGTCTTATTCCTACTGTGATTTCAGTACATATCCTCAGAGTTCTTTATTACAGTAATATGTGTTTCATTTCTCCCTAGGAACTTGAGGCATCTCTTATCTTCTCTTGCCTTTCTTGGTAGATGCCCAAAATATTATTGCTCTGAATTTCCTGTTTTGTTTCTTTCCACCTTTTCATTTTCTTTTTTTTTTTCTTTACCTAAAACCTCCCTTCTGTAAGTAAGGGCATTCTGTTTGGCATCTCTAGCAAGGGATTAAGGAAAAGAGTTGTAAAAAACCTTCAAAAATTAATATATATGAATGATTTTGTAATTTTTCCAATACTTGTTGATTATATGATGTAACATAGCATTTACCCTTCTGAATTGCTGCACTGAGTTAATCTGACTTCTGTATACATCTATCCTAATACATATCCTACTGAATATAGATTATAGAAGCCTCAGAGTTGAAAAATCTGTGGAAGCCTGTGGTCTTGGGGACATATTGTAACACATTTTACAGAAGTTTTTTACTTGTAGGGCAAAATTATTCCTGAAGTGCCACAGAAACGTTTCTTTCCTGTACAGGTATAGAAGAATTGCACTATATTTTTTTCTTTTTCTTTAAGGACTAGAAATAAAATGAAGTGACATTCCATATTATTATGTCACTCTGTTTTTTTCCCATCTTCCTCTGCTGAAGCTACAGCACAAAACAGAAGTGTTCAAGTCAATGTGAAGTAAAAGGATGCTTTTTTTTTTCCTCAAGCTGTGGTTAAAATCATTTGAACCTGTCTGCATTTGTCATAAAGGGCACAGGAACCAAGGATTCATCCAATAAGTGGGTTGGGAGTTAATAAAAAAGAAGAAACAAAATTATAAAATGGAGCACTCTGTAATTTTGAGATTAAGTCCTTAAAGCTACTGTTCCTTGTGCCTGGAGACCCCATTTGCATCCCTTGTGTTGCCTCTTAGTTGCCATAACTGTGCAAATTCAGAGAGTGAAGATTCAATGACATTCCTGCAGATACAGAGATGTGATTCCCCATTTTGAGTTGAGGAAGGAGCAATTGCAGCTAATTTTGGTTCCAGTCTAGTGGGCAAACTACTGAGTTACTCATCTGTTTCTTGAATCCAGTTGTAGTATCTTCTGTAGAAGACTGTAACAAACCAGATCTGAATATGGACTAAAGGAAAACAGTTTCTGCCAGAAAACCACTGCAAATTAAGATTTTTCTCTTGCTTGCTGTTACTTTATTTTGGGTCGGTTTCTTTGGCTTGTAGGAAGGGTTGGGTTTTGGTTTGGTTTCTTGGGTTTTTTTGGTCTTTGTCCTTCCCTTTGGTAAGTGACTTTTCTGACAATTTTGATCAGTTCATGTTGAAGAGGCTGTGTATAAGTACTGGTTTTGTTGCTTTTAAATGATGAAGCAAAGGTAAGATTTTTTTTCCTGTTGGGGTAGGCTGTGTACTTTTGAAGAGATCCTTTATAAATATCAGTTGTGGGGGGTTGACCCTTGCTCGACACCAGGTACCCACCAAAGCCGCTCCTCTCTGGAAGCAGAGAGGGTAGAGGAGAGAAAATAAAACAAAAGTCTTGTGAGTTAAGGACAGGGAGAGATCACTCACTGATTACTGTAATGAGAAAAATAGACCCAACTTGGGGAGATAATTGAATTTATTACCAATCAAAATCAGAGCAGGATAATGGGAAGTAAAATAAATCTTAAAAACGCCTTCCTGCCACCCCTCCCTCCTTCCCGGGCTCTACCTCCTCCCCTGCTGCAGTGCAGGGAGATGAGGAGTGAGATGGTCAGTTCATTGCACCTTGTTTCTGATGCTGTTCAGAGAGAAGAGTCCTTCCTCTGCTCCAGTGTGGCGTCCCTCCCACAGGAGACAGTCCTTCACAGACTTCTACAATGTGAGTCCTTCCCACAGGCTACAGTTCTTCACTAACCACTCCAGTGTGGGTCCCTTTACCAAGGGTGCAGTCCTTCAGGAAAGGACTGTTCCAGTGCGAGTTCTCCATGGAGTCACAAGTCCTGCCAGCAAACCTGCTCTACTGTGGGGTCCTCTCTCCACGGGTCCACAGGTCCTGCCAGAAGCCTGCTCCTGTGTGGGCTTCCCATGGGGTCACAGCCTCTTTTGGGCATCCACCTGCTGTGACATGGGATCCTCCAGAGGCTGCAGGTGGATATCTACCCCCTGTGGACCTCCAAGGACTGCAGGGGCACAGCTGCCTTACCGTGGTCTTCAGCTGCAGGGGAATCTGCTCCAGAGCCTGGAGCACTTCTTCCCCTCCTGCACTGACCTTGGTGTCTGCAGGGTCATTTCTCTCACTCCTCTCTTGTCTGGCCACAACTGCTTCTACAAAATAACTTTTTTTTTTCTTTAATGTTATTAGACACTGATTGTCTTGGCCTTGGCCAGCAGTGGGTCTGCCTCAGAGCCAGCTGGCATTGGCTTGGTCAGACAAAGGGAAAGCTTCTGTCAGCTTCTCAAGAGAAGCTACTGCTATATCCCTCCTGCTACTAAAACCTTACCAGGCAAAACTAATACACCAGTCCTGCAGACTTCCATTTCTTGTTGTTTTCTTTCTTCTGAACTTACTCATTGCAGCACCATCACAGAGGTCAGTACCATTCTCATCTTCTGAGAACAAGTTAATTATCGAGCAGATAATGCAGCAACAAAATAGGAATAGTGTTGTTTATGATCTGGCTTGCTCATTACTTCAGGTTCTCTGTAGTGCCATTACATTCCTGCTGCTGGGAACCTCTGTGGGTGATGCCAGTGCCAATCTGTTTATGGGTGTTGGAGGATACCCTTGAGTAAACAATCCTTTACAGCCTGGCACTTTGGCATTTGAAAAATCAAGACTTGCCTGCGCTGTTATTGAAGACTAATTCACAAAGAGCTGATCATGACTCTCGTAAGAGTGTACTGGAGCCTGAACTTTGAGAATCAAATGATTGTGAATGGAGGTCAGACTGCTTGTAGAAATGAAAGAGTATACAGCTTATTTTAAAGGGAAGTCTTGAAAAACTTATGTTTTAATTTACAATGAGAAATTAATTCAAAAATTTTAATTATTTTAAATCTCAGCACCAAGGAACTATTTTTTGAGATGTGCTGCACAGTAAGAACCAGTCTTCCATTCTGTCAAATATCTGATAAATAGGAGGTCTCAGAGAGGAAAATTGAAGTAAGCTGAAGTATTTAAAATTTCTTTTCCTTTTTATGGCAAAAAATTACTGTTTGAAACAAAACCTGTGGCAGTTAGGGTGCCATATTTATGCACATTAACAAGGATATTTTTATTGGACCAGAGCTCTTGTGGTACAAAAAGCATTCCAGAACCAATTTCAAAATCCTTCATCTTTTCTTCAGGGCCTGGGGGATGTTGACAGAACTTGGATAATTTTGGAAATGGTGACCAGCTAAAGCATTTCTTGGAGTGTCAGCTGATGTCTGGAATTGGTGGACTTGGCAGCTCTTGAAAAGTTGGTGCAGGGTTCAGTGTGTTTGCTTCCAGAGAGCCCAAGATATCCTTCATAACAGCAGGCATGTTATTTTGGCAAAAATTTTAACTTTGTTTTTCCATGTGATTTCTATGTGGCTTTAGTACAGAAGGGTATTCTCTAATTTTTAAATTGTTATGCAGCAAGGTTTTCTTTTGTTGAACTGGTTTCAGTGGAATTTGCATTATATTTTAGTACAAAGTAGGACAGCCCTTAAAATTTTAGCTCTTTCGGCAAATTATTCTTGGGGTTTTTTCCAAGTATGTGCCTAAAAAATGTAACTGGGCGTCTATCTCCTCTAGGCCTTGTTATACCTACTTTCTTATCCTATTTTAATTTATTGGCCTCTCAGGAGCTGAAGGGGAAATCCTTAAAACCCTAATTCAGAGTGGAGCTGTATTTTCCCACTATCCCTAAAACTGAACTTTCTTCATCAAAAATGCATTAAACTATCTATACTGCCCAGAATGTACTGGTGAGTCCATCTGGAAACAAAATATTTGTCTGTGGCTTTGGCAAGTTTCCCAGTCACTGCTGAAGATCCGGTTTCCTTGAAAAAGCAAGAAACGTTGTCCTCTGTCAATACATGACTTTCCCCATCAGATGGTGCTCGAGGACAGATTTATTGGGCATTTCATTCTCCAGCAGACAAACTGATACAACATGAAGGATGTCGCCTCTGCAGGCTCAAAAAAAAAAAAAAAAAAAAAAAAAAAAAGGCAAAGGTAAACCTCTGACCCAAACCAGAGAGTTGAATGATAAGGGCTAACTGGAACAATGCCTGTGCCACCTGCTGCTGTCATTGCTACTGAGAAGGAGAGTACCCAGAAATCAGACATGGCAAGGGTCTCATTCAGCAGTAGTGGAAAAGAGCCTGAAAAGGGTGGGAAGACCAGAAGTGAGGAAGGCAGAGGGTACTTGCAAGGACACAGAGTCCCAGAAGATTTGCAATTCTGCTTCACAGTGTGACTGTGCTGGAGATGTGCCTTGATGCTTGTATTCTGTGGATTTCAAGTGCTTTGGAAAGGTAAAAACATGCTATCATGTTTTGAAGCACAAAGAGCTTAAAACCATATTTCATAAAAACGACCTTCAAATTTATGTGCTTGTACTATGGAGCACCACTTTAAGCACAAATAATGTGAGCGTGCCCTGCATTAATGGGCAGCCAGCATAGCAGTAAGGTTCCTGAAACCTGCATTCATTATTTAAAATTGTGTCATAAAAAATAACTGCTTAAAAAAAAAAAAGAAAGGCAGCTCTCCCCAGACAGAAGCCAAGTGTTTGGTCATTACCAGCACACAAACAAGAAAACTCCATGGAGAGTAAACTAAATATTGATGTGCAACATTTCACATTTATTGATTTGGTCAGTTTTCAGATCGGCCTGATATAAAACAGCTAATTTAAACAATCTGATTTGTAAGGAGGATGTTGTCTCAAAACTAATCAAAACTCGAGGCTTTTTTCTTATTCAAACGTGATCCAAATAACACAGTGACATAGCATTCCCTGACAATTTTACAGATGAAAGTACTTTCCTGTTGAAAGACAAATTTAAATTTGTTTTTAAAACTTGTTGGCTTTGCTTGAACCCAAGTTTATTTCCAAACAGGAGATGATCACTAGAGGAGAGCTAAGTATTGATTTCCACAATAATCATTTGTTGAGAATAGCCATGAACATCTGACTGAGGATTATAGGGTTCACAGAGCCATTCCTCTGCAGCTTAGACTTTGCATTTGCCACACAGCAGAATTTTCCAGAGCTTGAACAGAGGAAAAGGACTAAAGGACCTAAGGAAAGAGTTTGGGAAGGTTTGATATTTCAAATACATACATGAAATAAGTATTTTGGAAATGCTGTTAGAAGAAGGAAAGTCTTACATCCCCACTTATCAACCCCCACCCAAGAACATTTGAAAGAAATCTACTTTGTGGTTTTAAAAGAAAACTCTGATTTTTAATAGTTTTTTCAAAACAAGCTTAAATAAAAAAAAAAATTAATCTTATTGCCCACAGATTTAGAAATGTGCTAATGAAAGAGAAAAGTTATGATTTCACAGTGTACATTCTTCAATGAAAGTTATCAATTTTGTAACAAGTAGAAAGAAAATTATTTCTGCACTGTACTGAAATGTGTATCTGTGCTAAAGCAAGCTCAGTACTTAGATTATGTGGGACAGAAAGTGCAAATTCCTGAGAGCTACAGTTACGTATCAT